CCCCGCCCCGCCCCAACGTGGCTGCTAGTCGGCCATGTGTCTGACCTCCACAGCAGCTTAACTTGAATGATTTTTTCCTTCTCTCCTCCATGCTCCTCCTCTGGGAAGCTACTGAGATTTACAGCTTGCCTGCCCTGGGCGGAGGGTGGGGAGGGGGTGAGGGGGAGTGGGGTGTTGTTTTAAATTCTAATAAAATTGCCCTTAAGCACATGTTTAAATCCATTCTTAATTTTTTTTTATTAATGAGACTAAGATCCCTGAGAGGGGACCCCAGTTTCCCCAGTATCATAACCACTTTCCATCATTGCCATTATCCACTGCTATCACTCCAGTTTAAGCCATCGTGGTGCTAAGGTAGCCAAAAGCCCCATAATATTAACTGGTCAGGAAATAAAAATCGCTAGTCTGTCTGATGGAAGACCTACCTTTCCAGTTTCACAGTCAATCACCAGATCATAGGACCACCCCTGGAAAGGAAGGTTCATCTAGATAAACAGATGAGCAGAATACCTAGTGTGCTGAGGAGATGGTGAACTTTTCTTGCTCAGAGTCCCTGCCTCCTAGTGCAGGCCTTTTGCACCTGGTTGCAGACAGGAGGTCTCTGTTTTGTCCGCTTTTCTGAAGAATGCAAAAACAGCCAACTATGACCTCTCTCCTTCCTTTTCTAAGCATGCTCTCCTAATACTTGGCCTGTCCCAGCTTCTAGTTTTCATTTACTTTTTCTCTAACGCTTCCTTTGTGGCTGCTAGATCACCACATGCCTGACTTCTATGCAGGCTCTAAATCTGCATGGCCTTATGGCTTTGTTTTCCTCCCCGCTCTATTCTCCTCCTTGAGGCAGCTGCTGAGATTTTCAGCTTGCCTGCTCTGAGGATTTTTCTTTAAATACTAATAAAATTATCCTAAAGTTTCCATTTGAGTTCATCCTTAATTCTTTTATGAATGAGACTAAGAACCCTCTAGGGGATGCTGTTTCTTCTCCCTAGCAACTGTTTTCTTCAGGGATTACAACAGTGACCATCTAACAAGCCTTTTCACTTCTGCCCTCTCTACT